CAGCGGGTCACAGCATCCACGGTATCAAGCCTCCTACCAGCTTGCTATGAATTTTGAACAGACATTTATCTGGCCTCCCTCCAGATGTAGAAATAAAGCTAGTTCCGAGCTGCATTTGTCCTTTCCCAGCTGACCAAGGCATCCTTCCCCAGTCCCTCCCTGCAAGTCCCTTTTTCTGTCCTCATCCTCAGACACAGAAATCAGAAAAGTGAGGTGGCAATATTTGACATGTACTTATTGAACAGAATTTTAAAATTCAACAGAATTTAAGAGTCTCATAGACTTTCTTTCTCTGGGCTAACTTTGAACTGCAATCCTCATATCTTAGTCTCCTGAGTGGCTAGGATTTCAGGCATAAGCTACCAGTGCCCAGCCTCAACAGAATTTATTATTTATTTATTTGGTTGTGGGCCTGAACTCTGGGCCTGGGTGCTGTCCCTGGGCTCTTCAGCCCAAGGCGAGTGTTCTATCACTTGAACCATAGTGCCACTTCCGGCTTTTTTGCTATGTGGTGCTGAGGAATCAAATCCAGGGCCTCATGCATGCAAGGCAAGCACTCTACCACTGAGCCACCTTCCCAGTCCCAGAATTTTTTTTTTAATCACTAAAATAATAGGGGTTCGGGATTTAGCTAAATAGAAGAGCACTTTCCTGGCAAGTGCAAAGCCCTGAGTTTGGTCCTCAAGTCTAAAACATAAATAAAAATAAAATATAAGAAATGTTTTAGCCTCCCTCAAACTAGACACTTCTTCTTTTGTGTGTGTGTGATTAATTGGCAATCAGAGTCTCCTGTACCTTTCTGCCTGGACTGGTTTTGAAATGGGCTCCTCAGATCTCAGCCTCCTGAGTAGGTAGGATTGCATGTGTGAGCCACCAGTGCTTGGCTAATAGAAACATCTTAAAACATGAGTCAGTACATTTGGAAGGCCAATTTCATGTTAAATAGCACTATCCTGCTGGTTTAATAGTTCTTTTGGCAAGTTCATTAAGGATCTGTCAATAGCAGGTGTGTTAGAGACTGATTTAAATTTCATGGAACTAAGCGTTTCCATTTTACCTGTAAGAAGACTGATCAGGGAGCATTAAATGATTTGGGTAAGATCTGTAACATGACATTTGACAAAGTGGAATGGCAGGGATTATTAATTAGGTCAATCCAATCAGCAACTTTCGTTCTTTGGATTTTAATGCCCTTTCTAAAGATTGGCAGACAGTGCAATTGAACTGAAAGTCCAAGCATGCCCACAGGGCTATGAATTCAATATAAAGGATATTTTCCTACTGGCCTGTAGTTGTATAGCCTCACCTTGATGTAAAGAAGGTTGGAAGATTAGTCTTTATTCTGGAGAGTTATATGCCCAGGTGAAAAAGGAAAGGCTCATCAATATAGTAGAAGAACTTAGGAATAAATAAAACAAGGCATTAGCAGCCTTTGCTACAAAAAGTTTTAAAAGTTGTTGAATTTAAGGTACACATGGCCAATCATCCACATGGAAATACTTTGCATATAGTTGGAAGTGCTGAGGTTTTGAACTCAAAGACTTGGGCTTGCTTAGGTAGATGCTCTACCACGAACCCTCTCCCCTACCCCATCCTTTACCTAGTTATGAATGAGATTATTCATTTTTGTGAAAGTCTTTCCAATTTAGTAATTTACAGTCTTCAGTTTGGGGAAAACCTTTTCTGATCTCTGACATTTTCTTCCCCTTCACATTCTCTGTTCTTTGCAGGAACTCATTGTTCAGATGTAGGACTCTTGTAATAGTCCTCCACTTTTCTTTGCTTTTGAAAACTTCATTAAAAAAAAACAATCAAGCCTGGCATAGTAGTACATGCCTATAACACCAGCACTTGGGAGGAAAAGGTAAGAAGATTGTGAATTCAGGGCTGGGAAGGTGGCTCAATGGTAGAGCGCTTGCCTTGCATGCATGAGGCCCTGGGTTCGATTCCTCAGCACCACGTAAGCAAACAGAAAAAAGCTAGAAGTGGCGCTGTGGCTCAAGTGGTAGAG